TTTAAGGGATCAGAGTCCAGCAATGAGATGATGATACAGTTTTTCCCTTTCCTGGACTCCAAACCCTTTCTTCCCTCACTCAGATATGTCTGCAGTGAGCTACGAAGGGGCTTGTTTCTTTCTGTACCACACAGCACTCATCAATGTGCTGGGTATCCTGTAGTTGTTTAATATATGCTCATTAGCTACTATCAGTGGGAAAGGCTCACCATATTTCCACCTCTTTTGAAGATGTGTTTTCTCTTAATCATTGCTGCTGCAAACATCAAAGTAACTGGAACTGGAGAAATGATTTTGTGCTATAACACAAAGGGAAAAAAAATTAAGAAGCAAATGTAGTGTTCTCAATTTGCTTGGGTGGGAAAAGGGATGCAAAATGGTCTGAATAAATTGTTAATGCTCACTCAGATAAAGCACATGGTGCCTTAAATTTACAGTCTAATTGGATCGATCTACCCATTGCACACTATTTTCCAGAGATTCAGAGCTGAATCTGCGGATTGGGATTTGTATTCAATGTGGGGAATTCTAACTGCAAACAAATTCATACTGCAAACATCGGAATGGCTTTTATCAGATGAGAAGTAGATATTTGGAATTTTAGTAACACTTCTCACCACCTTTCAAGAAGACTTGTCATTGAATACATGGTGTACAAATCTGGTAAAGAAAAAAAGAAGTTTGAATATCTTTACAAATTACATTTTATTTGCAGGAGGAAACCACAGTGGCACAATTCCTCCCTTCCATTTAGGTTTCTCTGCCTAGAAGTTTTACAGGGGCTTTCAACTCCAGGCTCTCCATTAAGACATGCTAACACTATATACTAAAAGTCTGGCAATAGAATGAATTGTACAGCACAGGAAGCGGGGTGGAAGAAGAAAGTAACAACAGTTCAGAGATAGGAACTGTCTGCTCTCTGGAAACCCCTCCAGCCTTAGATTCACTATTCAAACTCCAAAGGCCAAGACTCTTCAGTTCCCCTGTGTAAGAGAACAAGAAAAATGCCTAGGAAAGCCCACGGTTTCCTTCCTCTTGAAGGAGAGGAAGCAGCAGCGGTGGCAGACGCCCATGTACAGCCATTACTTCCTCGGGGGCTGGTGTCCATTTCCACCCACTGGGACGGGGTCTGGCAGCTTCGTAACCGGCAGGAGATACGTGATCCAAGAATCCACTTTGGCTCCAATTTACCTTGACAAAGGCCAGTTCTGTCTAACTCTGAGAATCCTATAAGCATTAGTGAGGATTTCTAATTGTCTCAACCTCAGGAGCATGGCCAGAAAAAGGGGAGTTAGGTCAAAGAGTCTACCTTGAGTAGGGCTCAAGATCTTCCTCACAGGCACATTGAGATTATAGTAAACAGGAATGTATTCAGAAGTAGTAGAGAGGAGATATAACTTTTCTTCCCCTCTTTTGAGGAATCAGAAACTGTCAGGATCCTACATTTAAAGCAAAATAGGGTATAATTCTATAATGGAATCAAAAAGAATGGCTGTAACAATCTAGTTCAAATGAAGAAAGAAATGACATGTATAATCATAGTGTATTACAAACGTCACACATACTCATTGTTTTCTCCGTCAAACCTGCTTCCTCTCAGTTCATGGTTTCTTCATTTATTAACTATATGAACTACAAACTTCAGAGTCATCTGTGAATATCTCTGAACCCCACCACATCCAGCTCTAGACTCAGAATGTCTCTCAATTCTGCTTTTATTATCACTGTCCTACATCACTTCACCTATACCTGGATTATTATAATAGCCTGCCAATGGATCCCTGTCTCCACTTGCTTTCTCTCTACCCCAAGTTATCTTTAACATCCTGAATAGTTACCTTTCTAAAGTACAGTTATAATCATAGCGTGCCTTCTCACTCCAAACACTTTTACTAGCTTTCTGTTTTCTTTTATTAATCAAGTCCAAATTTCTTAGCATAATGTTCAATGTCCCTCAGGAGCTGAAAATATTCCACTTTTTCATACACACCTCACACACAGCTAATGCTCAAGTCGAAACAGATCTTTCTCCTTTCCTTGATTCTATTATGGGCTTTCACACTTCTGCAACTTTAGCATGTTTTCTCCCGCTTCATCTATTTAAAATATTGTTTCTCCTTTAAGGACTAATTTCAGATGTCACCAAGTCTAGCAACCCTTACCAGATTCCTAGGCAAAATAAATTCCTCTCTCCTCAGGGTACATGTGATACTTTCTTACCCCTTTTTATAGTGTTTATCCCAATCTGACTTATATTCATTATGGCAAAATTTTCCATCTCCTTCTAAAGGACAGAGACAGTAGTTAATCCCTCCAAAAATGATCCTGAGTACCCAGCAGGGTGTCTTAAACAGCACAGGAATTTCATAAACATTTGTTATATTAAACTAACCAGTACAGAAATTAGGAATTTTCACTAAAAGTTGGCTGTGGATAAAAGACCAAGCTGAGAATCATAATCAAGGACAACTTGCAGTGAAGGAAAGAATTGGAATAAATGCTGTCCAAACAGAGGCCCAAGAATAAATCTTTTATAAAATAATACAGATGGCCTGATCCATTACTTATCAACATTTTTATATTGTCACATACTTGTGAAGGGGTTGACTGTGATTGAGAACTGCCACCGTAACTAAATGGAGAAACTACCTCTTTTTCAGCAATAGAAAGTTAAATGCTATATTTGAAAGAACTCAATCAGGGATTGACAAAGAAGCAGTACAATAAAAAACTGCATATACAAAATATAAAAGTTATATACATCACATGGTTATATGAATAAACATTTTTGTGTGTATATATATACATATATGTGTGTGTGTGTATATATATATATATATATATAT